TTAAGAAATATTGATAAAAAATAAAATTTCTTTCGAAACGAAAATATTTCGGATCACAACATACGAAAGAATTCTTAACTGAAATAAACTTACGAAACGTGCCATAATAAATATATATATCGATGTTTTTTGAACTCATTACGTATATTAAAAATGAGAATGATGGGTAGGAATATACATGTTTTTTTTTTAAAGCATATGAAATTTTTGAAACAGGTTCGAATATGCTTAAGCAAATAGTAAAAAGAGGCTCAAAAATATGCTTTAGCTTAAGCATATTTCTGATAAAATATATCTATTTCAATAATTTCTAAAAGTGTGCACGTTACTAACCCAGTAAGCACAAAGACGTTTAAAAGACGTCTATTAAAAAAGCAAAATAATTATTAATAAAAAAAAGATATATTATTATAGCAATTATTTTAGTGATTCCTGTGACAACAATTTTAGCAATTGTGTAAAAAAGTAATTTAATTTAAAGTAATTTACACTTAAAACTTGAACAAATTATTGAAAATAATAAAAACTATGTTTTTACTTTGAATACACGACATCTACTTAACGTGTAATGACAAAGCCGTCAAAAAGAAGTCATAATGACATATTTATAAACAGGTCTCAGAAAAGACATCTTTTAGCTTTGATCTAGACGTCTTTTAATGCGTATTTTAGACTATTTATTACGCGTCTTTTAAACGTATTTTTAACTTTAATAAGACGCATTTTAAACGTCATGTTAAAATTGCATTTATTAAAGACGTCTAGAAGATGTCTTAAAAATTGACGTCTTCTAACGTCTTTTTATCTTTTAAAAAGACGCCTTTTAAACGTCATTTTAAAAACGCATTCATAAAAGACGTTTTTACCTAGACTAGTTTTAGACGTCTATAAGTGTCTAAAATGCGTCTTGGGAAAGTTCTAGCAGATTTTAAAGGTATGTAGAGTCCTGTTTGAATACGCTTTTCGAAGTATAGATCTTAGAAAATATTGTTTTTTAACTTTAATAAGATATAAATTTAAGTATAAGATCGTATAGTTCAATCAGTTAGATACGTGATAATTCGCCGCAGAGATCCGGGTTCGCATCCCGCAGCCATTGTAACTTTTGTTCATCAAACTCTTTTTACTTAAGATAGCATTTTTCGACTTCCATGTTCTATATTACATATCTTTTGTCACCTTAATAATAGTGACAATCTCTCTTCTGTTAATTATTCTTTTAAGATTGAGTTCATTGTGCTTAATTCTACACGTTTCCCTTGCTTTACTAAGTTTTACTTAAATTATGATGAAATGTACGTAAAACAACTTTTTCAAATAATATAAATTATTTTTGCTTTAAATCTTGTGCTTTTTGTACTAGACATGTTTCCTAAACACTTTGTAATAATTGTAAAATGTAAGCTAACTCTGAGTCTAATATAATCGTTTCTGAATATAATTTTCCTGAGGCTCCTACAGCCTATTGTGTTCCATTAAAAGTAACTGTATATATATATATATATATATATATATATATATATATATATATATATATATATATATATATATATATATATATATATATATATATATATATATATATATATATATATATATATATATATATATATATATATTTTTATATATATATATATATATATATATATATATATATATATATATATATATATATATATATATATATATATATATATGTATATATACATATATATATATGTATAATCATATATACATATATATATATGTATATATGATTTGTTTTGCAAGTTTTCTTTCGCAATGCTTTATTACGGAATTTTATTTATTTATATTTTCGTATAGCCCGTTACGGAATGTGCATTTTTGCATGTGCAACTTCCGCAATAACAATTCTATTACGGTTGATAAAGATGCGAAATTTTCGCAAGTTTTGTTTTTCGGCGAACAACCCTAGTATAGATGATTTTTTTTTGGTTTTACCGTTCACCTATTCTAGAGGGGTAATACCAAAAGTTTACTGCTCTGTGTGACATCAACCTTAACAACGCCATTGTACAAAATACTAAGAAATGAATAAATCACAAAAAAAAACCTGAATTAAACTATCAAAATAATACATATGCATTATTTATTTTAAATATTTAATCTAATAACTTGACATAGCTGCTTTTTGTATAAACGTAATACTATAAACCCAAAGTAGAAATGTTTTTTTCAATTAAAATATCTTTATTTCTAAAAAGTTTATTTTCTTTCTTTATTTTTTTCTTATTTTCTTTATTTCTGTATAAATTTTATTTCAATAAAGATAATAAACTTTATTTCTATAAAGTTTATTATCAATTAAAATACCTTTATTTCTATAAATAAAATTATTTCTTTATTTTTAACATAGCAATCAATCAGCCTAGCAATTAAATAGACTTTTAACTAATGCGCTACTGTTAAATCGCCATTTTTTTTTCTTTTTTATTGTTATATTCACTTAGTCTACATTATACTATTTAAAAAGATCAAAGTTTTGAAATTTTGAAATTTTTTTGTTTTAAAATAATCGTGTTTGCATTAGATAAATTTAAGTAGTTCTCACAAAGTAAACGTTTTTTATAACTTTAAAGTGAAAAGGGTTTTTTTAATTAAAAAAAAGTCATAAATATATTTTTTAGGCTGGTTCCGCCTCTGTAGACAATAAATTGAAGCCGACCAATTACAGAGGCACTTTGATTTTTGATTTTCCTTTGACCTATAAAACAAAACTAATTAAAAATATATTAGAGATCAGAAAATATTTAGAGGTAACTAAGGTTTAAAACTTTTTGGGCTTCATTTTAAAAATATTTACTTTTGTACCTATTTCTAAGAGCTAATTAAGTTCTTACTTTTATAACCTTCAATGAATTTATATTTAGTACTTATTTACTAACTTACTTATTAGTTACCAAAGATCATAGATCACAAATAGAAATAAAACAAAACTAATTGTGGAATCTTGATTGTAGACGGCTATGTTAAAACAAATTTAAAATAAATGAAATAATGCAAAAAAATTTACTGACTTAGTTACCGAAGATTAAGCTTACCATTTTCTTACTCCTTATTCCATTCTCTAAAATTACATTCTACAACCTCATCCTCCATAAATTTGTTATTGGTTTTTGTACAATCAAAGTTATGATTATATTTTTCCAGTAACTTGAAAAGATCGCAAAACTGTTTATAAAACTCAAAATAAAAACAGTGCTTAGTTGGAGAGAGTTAATACAATTAAAAAAAAAAGTGAGAAAAAGTAACTGAACTTTTCAACAAAATACTTTATAACAAAATAAATAAATAAACTAACTTTACAACAAAATAAATAAATGTTATCTTCACTTTAAAACGTGTTATTTTCTTTTAAACGACATTATCGGTGAAAACTTCAATATAAACAGTATTAAATTTGTTGACGTTTTCGAATAAAAAACTTTGTCTATGTAGATATATATATATATATATATATATATATATATATATATATATATATATATATATATATATATATATATATATATTTATATATATATTAATGTTGGGTTAAGATTGTAAAAACAATCATTTTTTTTTAATATTTTTACATACATTGGAAAAATGTTGTTTTTTATACATTGAATCGACGTCGAAATATATACATAGGATCAATATTGGGTTTAGATCGTAAAAACAATAAACTTTTTGCGATGTTTTTACATTCATTGGACCAATGTAAATTTGGTAGATGTTTTTTGTTCCGTCGTTATTATTTTTATTATTAAGCAAATGATATTGGATCAACGTTGGTTTTGCATTGGAAAAAAGAGACGACTTTCGTGATGGTTTCAATTAAGTTGGCCAAATTTAAGTGTGGTAGCTGGATATATCTTATTTCACATTCCCTTTTTAATAATTAATGATTCTTAAAAAAAGTCAATAAATCTAAAGTTGCTTGTAAAAAAAGTTAAAAGTGCTACCTAAATTGTCTTTTACTAGCACTTCAGCTTTGATAATAAACTAAAATATACGTATGGTTGTAATTGAAGCTTTTTAAAACATATTTTTATGAAAACACATGAATTCTTTTTTATAAATATTACTAATAGTATTAAAAATTAGGCATTACAAATTCTGCAAGCAAAATAAGAAATAAAATTATCAAGCAAAAGATACTTTAATTTGTATCCATAAATCTAAAATATACTTAACATTACTTGTAACTAGCTATTTACAAATGTTAAGTAAAATATTATATATAGTTACCAATAATTTAAAATATTACTAGTTTTAGATAAAATCCAAAAAAAAAGTACATTTTGCTGGGCGATTAACCCTTTTTATTAATAAAAAACCTTATAATAATCTGCCTTGATATCAAATGGAATAAAAAAATACATATCGTTTTAACATAAACTATATAACTTGTATTAAACTGTTAACAATTTTGAAGCGCTCAATTTTTCGTGTTTTATTACTATGGGCAATAAAAATAAATTGATTAAGTACATTTGTTGTCTAACATATGACACCATAAAGCTCTTTTTGGAAGAATTAACTTCTACTAAAGCCTAATCTATTATAATGCATAATTAAAATTTACCTTATTACTCGAAATCGCTTTAGCCTAATTTTTTACTTTCTAATGCAAATACTTTTACCTTTTTTAATTTTCAATTTTCATTCAAACAACCTACAATTGGTGAAAAGTCTTATTCTGAACCAAACCTCTTCAATTTTACTCCTCATTATATACTGCATACTCTGTGGCTTTGTTTCGTATTTTATTAGCTAATACTTCATAATAAAGAAGTCATGATCTTACTATGTGGCTTCTTATGTTATTAGTCAATAATGCAGAATAAAAAAATCACAATAATAAATAATGTGTTTTATTTTAGAATGAATATATTTATAAAATATGAGTAATTTAAAAGAGCATAGTGAAAATCGTCTTGATAAAGCTCCTTAAATGATTTCTTTATATAAAATAATTTTTACTTCTTGTTTAGAGTACGTGGAGCTGTTTGCTTCAAAGAACGTTCAAGTCAACCCAAATAACGCAATTACTACATTGCCAATTTTATCTAAAACATTTAAAATTGAATTTGAATTTTGCTTTACGTTTGCAGGTAAAGGCAACAGCCATAACTTGTGTTTGACTAACTTATTTAACTTTGCCGCAGCATATCCTTATATTTGCAATACCGATAGCTGTTGGGAAAATTCAGCCTGTGAATCGAAATATTTAGCTGCATTTTTTGGAACCAGATTTGATAACAAAAACCAAAATATTTTACAATTTGTTAATTGCTTCAATGGGAAGCCAGCCGTAAATTATGTACTTATAAAACCAGGATGTGGAAAGTTCCAAATAAATCAGCTGTTAGTTAATGGTATATACCGATCTACTGTTAAGTATGGTGATATTGAATTAGTTAATTTTCAAAATAAAAACCCAAAAGAATATAAGGAGGTTATTGTATATTTTTCTACTCCTGCATATAACTCACAATATGGAACAGTAACAAATCTTACAGTGGCTAATTCAAAATGCGGTAAGTATAAAATTTTTGATAAAAAAACGCTAATTACTTTTGAGCGTAATGTACGTTACATAACTCATTTAAAAATATTTAACTTACTTACATTAAAAATTATTATTATTTATTTTTTACATAAATTATACAACGTGTAAAACTTAATAAAAAAATAAAATAATTAACTTTTACAAGTAAAAGTTATTTGAATTTTTACTTTTACTGTTAAATATAATTAACTTTTAATGGTAAGTTGTGTAAAGTAAATTACTTTGAAAGTTAATTTTGGTTATATTAAATAAAAAAATTTACATCAAAATTTTTAAAAGTTAACACCTTAGATAAATTTTTATATAATTTAATTAAGTTAAAACATCTGTTATAGTATGTAAACTTATCCTTATATAATTCTTTGTAAAAAAGTACAATATTTCTAGGGGTTATATATACCCTTGTTATTCAAATAATTTTAACAAACCGTTAAAAAAACAAATAAACAAATAATAAAACTTCAATGTTCTTGAGTTTTAAATCCATGAAATTCATTTGAGCGCCAAACGTCCGCAAAATTTTCTATCCGCCATGATGGGTGGCATAAAGAAGTAAACAAATAAAAAACGTCGAAGTTATAAACGTCGGAAATATTAACAGCTTATTAAAAGAATTTTTTTTAATTGTCAAAGAATCTGAGAAAACTGCCGAAATTATGAGAACTAAATAATGAAATCAAGAAATTAAAAAATTTAGTTTAAAACTTAATGAATACAGCAAAGTTCAGTTTAAAACTAAATGAAGACAGCTTAATTCAGTTTATAACGTTATAAAAACATCAAGGTTCAGTTTAAAACTTCATGAAGACAGCAAACACTGCACTTCAACACGTAATGAAGGCAGCAAAATTCAATTTAAAATGAAATCAAGATAACGACATTCAGTTTAAAACTTAATGAAGATAGCAAAGTTCAGTTTACAACTTAGTTGAAACATCTAAATTTACAGCTGTTCAAAACATAATGAAGATAGCAAAGCAGCAATTGATGAAAGGGGAAAAATTGCATTTTTTAATTACAAAAATTAACTATCGATAAAAACAAAGGTTGGATAATCAGATAGAAGAAGAAACATATAAAATTTTAAAAGACACAAAGATTTTATTATAATGATAATTTATTTTGTTACCATAAACCAGGGTAACTTTGAACATTTTTTAAATATTTTTATATGCCCTTCTTTCACTATTGACAATATTTGAATTATTTATTATGCATATAAGAGCTATGACTGGCTCTTAAAAAACACAACTTTAAAATAATGTTTAAATCAAAGGATTAGAAATAATATTTATTTACTTAATTATTCAAAGTTACCTCGCAAATGGGGTTGCTTTGAATATTTTTTGCAGTAAAAGCAAAATATTTTAATTGGTTTTAATATTTGATAAAAACAACACTTTAGGTTTACATAAACTTAGTATTACTAAAAAAATAAAATATAATTTCATACCGAGCCCTGAAAAGTTTTTTTAGTATTCGAAGTGTTCTATACAAAGTATTCTGGCTAACCTAAGATTTTATTTTTATAAGAGCTGAAATTATTTAACTTCATCTTTAGTGATGTCTTTAATTAAAAATGTTTATATGTTATTTTTATATTTGAAAATATTTTATTCAAAAGTTCTATAAGTTCATGACTTTATCTGTCCTCGTTCTTATTTGTAAAAGTTTCTCACTTTATTTGAATTAGAACAGATAAGACTCTATATTGTGAACATTGTTCAGGGGTGTACATAGGGTAGAAGATCCAGGATCATCAGACGACGAAAATTACTAGAAGTACTTTATTAGTCTTATTATGTTATTTTTGAGGTGGTAGAGTTAGGGCCATCTAGTAAATTTTCAATGATCTACCCTGTGCATCAGAAAGACTCTGTGTGCCCCTGACCTTGTTATTATTATTTTTATTGTTATTTTTATAATCTTAATAACATCAGTTTTTTTTAAATAAATATTGTGTTTATTATTTTAAATTTCTTAAAGTATATCCTTAAATGTAAGAATTATAATCTAAAATATATTATTGATTAATTTTCAGATATTCAAAATTACTGTAATATAGTTTTGCATTTAATAAGATGCCGCTCATGAGAAAAGACTGAATTGCATTTATAATGTCTCAAGTTTCTTGAAAGCTAAGCCATCAATTCATTAGGGTTTTAGAAAAAGTACACTGACCTATACGACCAGTTACTGTAAATATAGACCATAGACCTTGTTTTAACTTGTTTATTATCTTGATTAAAAATAAGTTTAAAAGGAATGCTATGAACAAGACAACAGGTTACAAAGTTGTAAGGTTTAAGACGTTTGTAGAATTTTAAATTAGAGTTTGTGAACTGATTTAAAAAAATAACATATTAGATAAAATATATCAGTAAAGTGAGATTAGGCCATTTGCCTGTAAGAAATAATTAATTGTACAGTCTTTTGATAAATAATACGGGTTTAAATGAATCTCTAGAACTGCTAATTTTTATTATAATATCCTATAATACTTATAAATAAAGACTTTTATAATTTGGATATGGCATAGTTTGCTAAGAAAGCTACAACCTAATCATTTTTTACAGATCTATTTTTGCCAACTTTTGTTTGTTTATAGTTTTTTGCCACCCATCATTGCGGATATAAAATTTTGAGGACATTAAGGGTCATATGAACATCATGAATAAGAAAAATAAGATTTCCATAACGACAATGTGACGTTATCACCGTCGTCTTCATTCAAACCACCTTTATTTGGAGAGCACTGGTGATACTAAGTTTTCAAAGACTCTCTCACTTTTCTCTTAAAATAGTCTACCTCTACTTTAACAGTGTTGTTTTTATTCCAGCTATAGGCAACATGGCAATTTCTGGAATACCCCACTACAGCCGAATTTTTCTATTTTTCCTCCAAAGTATGTTTTTGATGTTGGTAAATACGATTTGTATCATTTAGTTTTGTTTCACCTACATAGAGTTTTTAACAAGAGCACTCCAGTTTGTAGACTCTCGGATAAAAGTTGTTGGAAAGTCGAGGCTTGTTTTTTTTAGTTAATAATTGTTGAAGGTTTTTTGGTGGCTTAAAAACTGAAGTATTTTGCCAGCAATTTTAAATTTCTTTTTTAATTGATTACTTAATTTTGTACCCATGGCAGAGAAATATGTTTAAGTTCTTGTTTTTTGATGTTATTGTTGTTGTTTTATGGATTATGCTTTTTGTTTTTAATTTTTTTGACAATTTTTTGACAATGTTTTGAAGTATTTTTTTTTATAACCATTTTCTATAAACATTTCTCTATGATTTATGTTTTCCTTACTGCATAATGCAAAAGCTCTTGGGATAAAACCTTTAAATACACCATAAATTTTTTTTGGATCGTGACAAAAATGCGGCTTTATTTGCACATTTTTTATTGAACCTCTGCGATAGCTATTAAAAAGATATGTTTCGGATTTGCTATTTGTTATTGAGAGATCAAGAAAATTTAGTGTGTGAGTCACTTTCTATTTCAATTGCATATTTGATACGTGTGTGTTAATTGTTTAACAAGTCGAGAAAACGTTCTGATTCTGCCTCATTATTAAAACGGGAATGGATATCGTCAATATACCTTTTAAATGATTTTACACATATTGGTGGTGTAAAATATAGTGCCTGTATTAAAGCTTTTTGTTCATAATGTTGCATAGAAATCTCTGCCATTACTACCATTAATGATAAACCTATAGGACTGGCATCTTTTAATATTTGTATATTTTTTTCATGTAAAAAATAACAGTTTGATAAACACCAATCTAAAAGTATTTTTATTTCTGAAAACGATAATTTTGAATTAGAGACGTATTACGGAGTTGTTCTAATAAAATATCGATTGATTCTTTAACTAGTTTTGAAGGCTAAAGATTAAAAATATCGAAGGAAACTTGAAATTCACCAGGATCGATATACCATAATTGAGCACGTTCAACAAGTTGTTTTGAATTTTGAAGTTTTGTTTTGTTTAGATAAATAACTTGATAATTTATATGTAGGTGACCATATTATGCTTACTATAATTCACATTGGGTAGTTATTAGTTGGTTTGTTTGCCTTGATGACATCATATAATCGTGGAGGAGTGTCTCTTGGATAAATTGATCTATATTCATTTTTCGTAAACTTTTAGACTTCGTAAAGTATTCTAAACTTTGCGAAGGATTTTTTTAGTTGGATCATAATTTATGGTTTTAGATTTTCCGAGTTGTTCTTTAATTTTTTTAAGAGCATCAATTTTATTAATTTGAACAAAAACCTGATCCTTTATCAAACGGATAAATACTAATTGTGTTGTTAGACTCAAGTTCTTTGAGAGCTTTAAACTGATATTTATCTAAGTTTGTAGAAACCGGTTTATGTATTTTCAAAACACAAAGCACATCTTATATAAGTTTATTTGTATCAGTGTTTTTATTTAGATACTTTAAGTTTAAATGAAGGTGGTTTGAATGAAGACGACCGTGATTACGTCACGTCGTTGTTATGGAAACCTTATTTTTCTTATTTAAGACGCAAGAACACATTAAATTAAAGTTGTATTATTTCTTTATTTGTTTTTTTAAACGTTTTTTTTATATTACTTGAATAACGAGGGTATATATAACCCCTAGGAATATTGTATTATATTATTTAAGAATTATATAAGGGTAAGTTAACATACTATAACAGATGTTTTAACTTAATTAAATTACATCGAAATGTAGTTTACTTTTTAAATGTTAAAAATTTTTTATGTGTACTTACGTAAATAAAGTATTTAAAAACATAACACTTACTTTACAAAGTAAAATAAAACTAAATCATAACAACAAAGTGCTTTTACGCGTAAAAGTGACTTTTTAGCAAAAACAGGTAACGTATAACTAACTTAATAAAAATTTATTATTTACAATTACAAACAAAATTGATATTTTTATTAGAAAATTTATACTTTACTTTGT